TCCCCCGCCCCGCACCTCCCCCGCCCCGCACTGGCCATTGGCTTGTCCTGGTCTCTTTTTCATGTCCAGCCCCTGATGTGTGTCCATTGGTGTGAGCTTCCCCTTCCCTCCTCCCCTTCTCTCCTGCTCGCCCTGCCCATGTTTTGTGTGTCTCTGTCCATCCAGACTCCTGACGTTCAAGTTCGCAGGGACGTCACGTCCGCACTTGAACTTGCAGCTCAGGGGGGCTTTTGCCATTTTTTTCATCTCTCTCTCTCCCTCTATCTCTCTTCTCTCTCTCTCCCTCTCTCTCTCTCTCTCTTTTTTTTTGCTTAAAAAAAAAAAAGCCATGACGGCTCTCCCACAATTCATCTTCCCTGCGCCATCTTTGTATTATTTCTAATTTATTTTGGATGTCAAAAGGCACTGATGAAGATATTTTCTCTGGAGTCTCCTTCTTTCTAACCCGGCTCTCCCGATGTGAACCGAGCCGTCGTCCGCCCGCCGCCGCCGCCGCTGCCGCCGCCCGCCCCGCAGCCCACCATGTCTCGCCGCAAGCAAGGCAAACCCCAGCACTTAAGCAAACGGGAATTCTCGCGTAAGTAACCCAATAATAGTAATAATAATTATTAATAATCACGAGAGCGCGCAGGACGAGAAGCAAGAGCGAAAGGGAGAGAGGGGTGTGTGCATGCATTTAAAAATTTTTCACGAGACAAACCTACGAGAGTCGAGGTAGAAGAGATTAAAGGGGAAAAAACCCTCATCCCATGTCGAACCATTGCCGTGTGTGCACTTTTAAGATGGCACGCACCTTTTAATTTTATTTAATTTTACAAAAATTTGGCTCCTCCTCTTTCCTCCTTTCCGCCGCTTTATTTCTCTTTTCGAAAAAGAATGCAATGATTTTCCCCTCTAGTTTTGCAAAATAATGAACAATGCTAAGGATGCGAACAACTCACATGCAAACCTGGGGGTGGGAGTTGGAGGGGAAAGGGGGGTTGCTTCCACTCTTCGAAGGAAAATGGGGAGGGGAGGGAGTGAGTCCAAGTCTAAAAAACAATTCCCGGGGAGAAAAGAGGTGAGACTGGCCCCTGGAAGCCAGCGCGCTCACGGTCAAGTGTGCACCGGGAGGAAAGTAGTCATCCCCACAATAGTGAGAAAGTGGGACTGTGGAAGGGGGCCCCGGCGCTCCCGAGCCTGCCGAGTCGGGAGAGGGGCCGCGGCGGCGGGGAGAGCTGGGCGGCCGGGAAGGACGGGAGACACGGCCGGCGCTGCCGCCTTTTGTTCCGGCCTGAGGTGGGTGTTTGTCCGGCTGCCTTTTGTGCCGGCTCCTCGCTCTTGCCCTCCCGCGCCGCCGCCGCCGCCGAAGGGCAGAAGCGAGGGCCGCAGGAGGAGGCGGCCGGGGGCACGCGGGAAGGGAGGGAGGGAGGGAGGGAGCCGGCGCCGCGGCCGCCCGGCTGCAGCTGCCCGCCCCTCCCGGCCGAACCTAAGGGGCAGCGAGGAGAAGACGTGCAAAAAATAAAATACAAAAAAATAAAATAAATAAAACAAGGCGAGAAAATGTACGATTTCTTGCCCCCAAACAGAAGCCAGCCTCTCCGCCAGCCCTTTTCTGCAATGCTCTCCTCTTTGGCTCCCCCCGCCCCCCACCCCGGCAGAAATCTCACAATATCTAATCGAGGAAAAAAAAAAAAATACAATTACCCCCTTCCCCCAAAAACCTTCAGTTGCAAACTTAGAGCGCCGGCGGCACGGAGAGGGAGCGAGCAACTCCCTCCTCTTACTATTTTTTGGAAGATTTTCAAAAAAAGTGGAAGTGGATTTTGATTGGGAAAAATCTCGTGTCTGAATGTTTACAAGCACCGCGTGTGCGGGAGCCTCCTGCCAACAAACAGACAGAGGACCGAGCGCGGCGCGGCAGCCCCGGAGCAGGCGGCGGCGGCGGTCGGGCCTCGCCCGGGCCTCGCCCGACTTCGCCGCGCCCCAGCCCAGCCCAGCATCGGCCACCCGGCGCCCGCCGCCCACCCCCTCCCTCCGACCTCCCAGACTGCGAAATCGGCTGGGTGAAACTCGGCTCTGGAAAGCGTCTTTATTTTGCAAAGCAACTGTAAAAGCGCGTTCTGCGCGCCTCCTCCCCTCCGCCCTGAGTACTCTCTCAGACGTCTCTTGTCCACAGCTCGAGACGGCGGAGAGGTCACCACGTGCTTTCCCTGCCCCCCTTCCACCCCGTCTGGCCACCAGCCCCCTGCGCCTGAGCGCTGCCAGGCCAGGTGCTGGTGGTGGCGGCGGCGGGAGGGGGAGGGGGCCGGGGGGAGGTGTGTTCCAGTATGCATTTGGGGGGTTCTGGATCCCGGGACTCGGCGCACTCCACCCTTGGGTTCGTGCCTTCTACCCTGGGCCCGGCTCGGTCGCAGGTCCTTGTGAGTCTATATAAGGAGTGGTGGGGTGGGGTGGTGGTGGTAGTGACTGTCTCCGGCTGAATGCGCCTGGGAGGGCGGACGGTGGGCACTTAGGAAAGTTTGGCAGCGAGGGAAAGAAAGGCGTGAGAGGGCCCACATCACCCCCCCGCTTCGTGATTCTTATTTTAATTTTTGATGCAATTTTAAAGGACCACCTATACTCAGTTCTGTAATTTTTAAAGGGGGGGGGGGTTGCGCACAGGGAATTGAATTTTTCACTGGGCCCTGGAACTTGTCACACTCTTCGGAAGCTCCCCCGCCCCGGCACGTTGCGGAGCCCTCCCTCTCCCCACCCCCGCGCATCCCTCCCTCGCCGCTCTCCCCCCCCCCCCACTCCCCCAGCCGCGCCGGATGCGGAGCAGACGCGGCACGCGGCGGTGTGAAGTTACAGCCCGGCCAGGTACCGGCGGGAAGGAAGGGCAGTGTTCGCAGGACTCGGGAAAGCCGGGTTCTTCGGAAGGATGCAGTGGGGGCTCAGAGGACGTACTGGGGCGCGCAGTCCAGGCTGCTCCCTTGTACCCCCCTCCCTCTTGGGGTCTATCTCGGGACACTCCAGGTTGGGAGGGTTAGCTCCCCCCACCCCCTGTCCTGGTGCAGACACTGGGTTAAGGGGCCAGTTTCGGGGTGGGGGTGGTGGGGTCTCTCGTTTTCTGGGTGCGCAGAGGGGGCGGGAGCCATCCCAGTCCTCAGGACGCCCCCCCTCCACTGCGTGGGCTGGATGAGCCATTCGGTCGCTAGGAGGCAGAACAAGATCAAGAAAGCTCAGCGAACTTGAACCTGTACCAGAGCCTCCCCCCACCCCCAGCTCGGCGTTTCACGGCTGGGGAGGGACGAGATTTGCGGGGGTGGGGGTGGGGGAAACAAACGGTTAGGCATAATTCTGCCTCCCCCCATCACCTCTTATGTCTTTGTTCTTCATTTTGACTTTAAAAATGCTTCTGGCCAGCAGTGCGGAGAAGCGCCCAGGCGCGCGGCCGACACCCCCGTGCGTGAGCTGAGCCCCGCGGGCTCTGGGCGTAGAGCAGGGTGCAGTTTTCGTTTTCTTTCGGGGCGGGCATTTTTTTCGGTGGGGAGGAAAGGGGAGGGCGCGCTCTCCGGCTTCGGGGAACGGCCGAGGGGAGAGATATGGCAAGTTTGCACTTCGTCTCCAGGTTCACTTCCATCCTGTCACCCCCGCGCAAAGCAGTGACCTCGGCCGCCGCGGCGGGCTTGCTGGGCGGCTCTGCAGCCCCCCACCCCCCTCCCCGCCTCCCTCAGCTCTCGCCTCGGAGCCCGAAATCACAACAATAGTAGTAGTTATCATCATAATGATGCGGGCAAGCAACGTCATTAATAATGAATAACCGCAGCAGTCGCCGCGCGCACACTCGGTGCCCAGAGTTGCGGGGCCAATGCATTTGCAGACATCCCCCAAAGTAGAAGTGTAAGCTTGTGGACACAGAATGAATTTCAGGACCCGCGCTTGGGGTGATACGAGACCGCGTCAGGTTAACCAGCCGTGTTTTCCAAACCTCACTTCCTTTTTCATCAACTGGCGGGCTCAGGGAACCGTCACCCCGCGGCCAGGCTGGACTGGCGTGGAGGCTGCAATCGGGGCCCCTAGCTGCCCGCCACCTCCGGGTCCCCAGCCCCAAGGCCCCGCGGCCGCTGCTGCACGTGTTCTCAGCGAGCGCGGCCGGAGCCTGCAGCCAGCACGCTGCTCGCTTTGTGCCTCCGAGTCCCGGCGCCCAACTTCACTTTCCGCACGGCCCACGCCCGCCGGGCCCCCTGCCCCAGGCCTGTAGCTACTGCCTTCGCTTTTGTTTCTTTGCTTTTCCCTTCTGCATTTCAACCTCGGTTTGCTTCTTTACCCTGTTGAGACAATCAAGGGGAAGGATTTGGAAAGCAAACTTGAAGACATACCTCCCATTATTCCTCCCTCTCCCTTCCCCCAGCAGCCCTCGTTTTCCCCGCTCTTTCCCGACATTTCTTCTAAGGCTTTAAAAAAAAGAAAGAAAAAAATTCTTTTGCAACTACAGGGAGAGGAAAGAGATAGTCTGCCGCTGGGGCATTGAGACGTTCCAGTCTATCTTGCTGCTTGAACGCAGAAGCATTTTATTTTCTATTTCTTGCTCCCCTTGTAAAGAGAATTCGCGGCTAATTATTATGATTATTTGCCCACTCCCTTCCACTTCAATCGAGGACTCCCTGCTTTGTAGCCGGAGTTTAGGCCGGAGCTTAGAAACGATGGTATTGTGGGAGCCAAGGAGGATGGAGTTGAATTGAGGGAGGGGGTAAAATGGCTGAGGTTGGGAAGGTTTTTAGGGAAAGCGGAATTTGCATTAAAATACAGAGAAATTATCAGATGCCCAGAAAAGAAATGTTGATTGCCACTGAGAAAAGATGTCAATGCAAATGAGTAGACTACACCAAGAGAATTGTATTTTCATATTTTCTTTGTGCCCCACTTCGTCTGATTTTTAATAATATAGTAGCAATAATAAAAACACGTTTTGGTATTTCTCTGAACATCACTAGTCAAATGTTTTGCAAGAAGCTCTATGTTAAACGTATTTTATACATTAGGATATAATTCTTGTTAATTAGCAATAATTTACGTTAAGAGCATAGAAAATGTTGAGGTTACAGGTTTTATATCTGTACATTTGATCATCTTGTTATTTTCAAGAACTTTGCCTCCTATAAAATTAATTAGGTGAAATGTGGAGGTGTAATCAGCAACCTCTGAATTACCACTTCATTTCCTGGTTTTGATTGTAAATCAGTTCAGTCACTACATTTAGAAGACTTTAACCAAGTCTGTTTTGTACCGCATTACCTTTAACTATTTGATACCTAGGAGAATATTTCCTTTTGCTCCTAAATAATATTCCCACTTTCAGAAATGTGTCAGGCCTTGGGCATAAAAAACCCGAATCTTAACAGTGGAATTTTAAAAAAATGATTTTTGCAAAGGTTCCACGTACTAGTAACTTTAATAAAATCAAATATTTTTCCTGAGTCTTCCTTCAATCTGTAACCTCAGAACTTGTAGTTAATGCTAAACAAAAAAAAGCCACATTTGCCAATGTGTTCTTAAGACCTTTAATTCAAATACCAGGGATCTTGGAGAATGACTTCCCTGTTCAATTCCTCACTTGGTCAAAATGAAAGCAAATGTAGGAGAAAAATGACATGAAGGCACAATGCAGAAGCACTTCCATTTGTCTCCTGTTATATGAAAAGTATGCATGTGTTTTATGTATTTATCTTTTGGTCAGTATGTTGGGCAAAGAAACAGAAGTGCTCACTTTACTGCCTTTATTAGTAAGAATATAACCTTCATATTCCAGTGGTGACCTTATGTTAAATTAGGAGGAGTACCAGAGGCCAGAAATTACAACATGTCCTACTTGAGCACAGGTGCAGCAAGGCAGGGTTCTCTCAATATTATTTCACCTAGCACATCTGGGAGTTACTCCAGATCTTCCCCCTCAATATTCAGCCTGGGTAGGGTTGAAATAAATTTAACCTGAGTTCACTGGATTTTTGCACTTTATCAAAATCTGTTCCAATATTCCACACTCAAATTAAAATCTATTTTTTGATTCTCTGTGGCTTTAAGTTCATTAAATGTGAAATTGGCAGCTTGCTAAAGAAGGTCAGACTGATTAACTGTTTAAGACTTGTACATTTTCTGCTTCAGTTTTATTAACTGGCAGCATCCTGGATGTGTTTGGTATTTTATGATTTTTTTTTTTTTGATAGAGCAAGCATAAGGTTCCATGAGCAGAGACTTACCAACTCTCTTTTCCCCTTTGGAAGGTTAAAAAATGATAGAAACTGTTCAAAAAGATGCTGGAGTATTTTGGTGCAAAGTTAAAAAAAAAAAAAAGCCAACAGGAAAGAAAGACATGTCTACCTTGTTATACCATCCACTGGTGATTATGTGAGCAGAAATAGTCCCATAATGAAGCCTTTTGGAGTTCATTCAGAAAATTAGTCAACTCTAACAACATTAGGTGAAGTATTTCAACTCTAAAGAAAGGACTTCTCATCCTTGTTCTGAAATGTGGTGTTTGCTTGACCATTCTGATTTTTATGTCGTGGATGCTATCAAGTACAAACATGTTTAGAATATTTTAGGCATTCCTTTCTTCAGAATGAAAAAATGACTAATTGGCTTATTTTCTTAAGTACTCAAAAGTATCCCATTTAGCTAATGTGTCTGAGAAGACTTGCCAGTGAATTTGGTATTTCTTTGATTTTGTGGCACTGCTGAGAGTGAGATCAGAAAGATTTTTGGCAATGTGAATTATACTACGTTATGATTATTATTTAGATACGTTTCACAGGTGAATGCAGTCGTTTTCTTATTACAGCAGTGTAAATGTGGCACGTTTTCCGTGTGATGCAGTAGCTTTCTAATTTATGAAGCTGTGTCTGTATACTTAAAGTATGTACATTCACACACAAAGAGTGTGTGTATTTATTCATGTCTCCTTTTATTCTTTGGCATAATAGACAGCCTAACATATAGGAGAAAAGAAAAATTTGGTTTCAATCCATGTTTTTACCAGTATTGCTTGTATTTTTATTTAAGCTTTCTTTATGTCCCCTGTGTTAACTGTTTATTTAAATCACATTCTTTCTCCATTTACAAACTAGATGCATTTGTAATGTTTATGTTTTCTCTGAAGTTATGCAAGGCAGGTAGTTTTCTTTAAATATATGATTTGCACCATTGATAAATTTGCTTTCTTGTTGATAATGTCCACATCCTTATTTTGTGTGCTCACATTTTCTGGATATTATTTGGAGAAGCCTAGAAACACTTTACATAATGTGGTGGGATGAGGTGGGGTTGGGAATGTATTTTCCCCCTTTTCTCTTCTCTCTGGCACTCTAATAATTGTACCTTTGTTTCTCCAACCACAGCCGAACCTCTTGAAGCCATTCTTACAGATGATGAACCAGACCACGGCCCGTTGGGAGCTCCAGAAGGGGACCATGACCTCCTCACCTGTGGGCAGTGCCAGATGAACTTCCCATTGGGGGACATTCTTATTTTTATCGAGCACAAACGGAAACAATGCAATGGCAGCCTCTGCTTAGAAAAAGCTGTGGATAAGCCACCTTCCCCTTCACCAATCGAGATGAAAAAAGCATCTAATCCCGTGGAGGTTGGCATCCAGGTCACGCCAGAGGATGACGATTGTTTATCAACGTCATCTAGAGGAATTTGCCCCAAACAGGAACACATAGCAGGTAAATGAGAAGCAAGGAGAAAAGCTGTTTGCATGTTTTCTTTTCATTTTCAGAGGTGCTGTAGCCAAGCAGTAAGGAGTGGTGAAGTGCTTTCTGTATCTCTCCAGGTGACTGTCCATGACAGCCCTGTAATGTTAAAATAATCATTCCTATTGCTTACATCCAGAACACAGGAAAATAAATATTTTCCACCTTACAGAGTCAGATGTAGGTGGACTCCTCGTCCAGTTTCCAGGGTCCATTTCCAGCCTTGGTGACATGTCAGAGGCAAAGTGGCCGTAGAGGCATTTGTAGTTCACCTGATGACCTGTTTGACTCAGAATATCTGGTCAGGCCTCCCTAGGGGTGCAGTTAGTTCTCAAGTCTTCCCTGAAGTGGGGTGGGCTGGCAGGGCAGTTTGGAGGGGGTGGAAAGAGTTAACAGAGCTTCGGGGCTAGCCTTGGATCCATATTGGCTGTCAGCCTGTATGGGGCTGTAATTAAACACAGTCCCGTGGTGGGATGACACTGTGACCTTGACTTTAAGATGCCATTTTCGACTGGCCAGGCCAGAGTAGAGAGGGCAGTTGCTGAAGCGCATAGACATGCTTACTCGAAAAGTTTAAGGGCATGTTGGAAATTTCAAAAGGTTGGTTTGACAGGAACGGCTGCTCCCTGCAGCCTGCCTCCTCAGCTAAATGATAAATGCTTCTCTGTGCTCTCTCTTGTCTCTGATGTGGTTTTGACAGATGTATCTTGATTTTGTTTGTGGTTTACACAACCACATGTCACCCTTACAAATGTCCAGTCCAGACTCCACTGTTTCTGCTATAACACAATGTAGAAATTTTCTCAGAAAAATACATACAGACATTCAACAGCTCTCCTTCCTTCAGTTAATTTTAGCAGGGAGGTAGCTGGGTGTGTGGGTTTCTCAGCAGCTCAAGGGAAAAGGAATTAAAGGCTAACGGAGAGACTTAAATTCCCTACTCTAAGTGATAAACAGCCACACTTTGTAGTGACCCTGAAAACATTTTTTGATTTAGCATGTTAGACAAAATGAATGCAGATTCTGTGGTGACTGAAACGCCATGCCCATCTGGTCACTTTCCTGCATTCTCTACCCCTCCACCCCAGAAAGAGGCAGAAGGTTTGTTCAGTTTTAGGAAGGATAGTGCATGTAATCAATCAGTGATTCACTGGAACTTGTCTTTCTGACCTAGTTTGACCACTTGAACCGTAATGGGTCAGTGGTCCAGAGGGGATTAAATGTCATATTATTTCTCCTCTCCCCCTCTGGAATTTGATCATTAAAATTAAATGTGGCATTTTCTTTTTTTCTTAATGCTTTCTATAATAACAGATACTTTTCCTTTAGTGAAGTGTGAAATCTGCTACTAGGGAAGCTGCATTTACAAAGTATTTTTCTTGAATCCTCTACGTTGAGCTTATGTGACATGTAGGTTAGGATTTTATCTCCCCACCCCCCAGTAGGATATGGCAATGACCATTTCCATGTGCTGTCTTGTGACTGGAAGGAAAATGAACAGAAGTGTAAGGCATGATTAATGAAGCAAGAGCAGGCGGAAGGGGATTTGTCGTCTTCGAAGATCCAAAGCCTTGCTAAATCACCAAATATGGAGTAACACTTGCGTGATGTAACATCGTATTTACATATCGAGCTGCTCGTTTAAAAGACAAAACACAGTGTCTGTCAAGCAAGAATTAAAACCACACTTCTTACTAAGGTCCCAAATAGGTTATACAGTCTTAGATTAACCAGCTAGAAAATTCTGTGCCTCTGTATTTTGCGGAGGAATCTAAAAGCTGGGGGGAAGGCCTTATCTGTGGTTAAAGCTTTTCACTGTTGCAGTTGCAAATCTATGTAGGGAAAGAAAAGATTCTTGCCTTAACTCCCTGGTTGTCATAAAGGGTCTGTTATTTCCTTTGTAAGGACTAGCACAATAGTAGAGCCTGGAAAAGCCAAAAAATAAAAAATAGAAAAAAGCAAATTTAAAATATATTTTACAGGGCTAATACTAAATAATTTCACTGAGATGAAAAGCTATCTAAGGTGTCTAAGATATTCAGTGGGTGCACAAGTGCTGCTACCCACGTAAGGTAAACCTTTCACACACAAATAATTACTAAGTCTTGATTCTTTTCCTTGTGTTTAATTCCCACCCTGGAATTGGCTGAACATAAGTAGCATAGTCACCTCTCAAAGCAAGTTGTCAGTAATAGAATCACGACTTCTCATAATTCACATTAATGAATTAAGAGTTTCCTATGGTGAAATTAACATTCTACCATTGCACATAAATTATGATGCTCTGGCCCTCAGGTGCCCCTGAAGTGGAGTTCTGGAAGGCGGCGGTATACCTCTAGCCCATTTCTCTAAAGCACGTCTCCACAATTTCAAGTCTGCTTTTCTTTTTACGATGAGGAAGGAAACAATAACAGTAATCATTCAGTAGATATTTGAATTGTGTCACAAAAAGAAAGGAGAAGCAATGCTCTGCATTAGCAAAGAGATATATTGATGAATCTCTAGAAGAATATGTTTGGCAACCACATAAAAGGTAGTCATTTAAGTGCGCTGTGTAGGAAAGGCTTTATTAAAGTGATGTAAGTTGGATTTGAGTTCACTGTGTGCTCTGTGCCATTTTATAGGCAGGAAACAGGAATAAAACAGTGACAGATCTTCTTCCTAAGATAAATAAAGCTTAGAATTCAGGGCTTTCAAATAGGAGAATTAGGTGGAGTTCTTTAAATCTTCAGTAAAATGGTATGCATTTTGACTGTGCATAGGCATCCCATCTAAGATAAATAAAGCTTAGAATTCAGGGCTTTCAAATAGGAGAATAAGGTGGAGTTCTTTAAATCTTCAGTAAAATGGTATGCATTTTGACTGTGCATAGGCATCCCAAAGCTGAGTATTTTTTTTCTAGAGAATGCTTTTTGACCTGGTGAATACATGTATATGTGCTCCTGTACTTCATCCACGTACACATGTTAACTATACACATAGACGATGATCAGGTTGCTTTTTAAATTTTATTTAAATATTCAAAATATTGTGTGATCGTGATCCATTGAGACCAATGAAATATTACTAATTTAACTGGAAATTAGTGGTTTCCAAAGAAAAATTCTAATTTAACTGGAAATTAGCAGTTTATATTGTGTTCAGTTCATCAACATGTGTGTCACATATCTGCCATCAGGTATCAGCAGCCTTTGACTGGCAGTCAGAGCTTTCAATAAGGGTTTTGTTTTGTTTTCTAGACTCATATTTTATGATGGAGTAAATATTCATCGAAGATTAGTGAATGTGAAACTGCTATTCCCTTATAGAAAAGGCCAAAAATATTATTCCACAGTGTCAGATTTAAGGTTTTGTCTTATTGCACATAGAAACCTTTAAATTAGGGTTGGGCTATCATAAAGTTAGCTTTTTGAGAGAATGGGGAAAAATATGACAAGTCTTATAAAATGTAGTAAAGTCTGCTGCTGTTCATATAAACACCTTTTTCTCCTTAAAGTCATAGACATAGACATTTGTATCAGGGTATTTAAAATTATTTGCCTAGACAATACAGCTGATATCTAGATAATGATATGTAAAACAGATACTCTAACGAAGGGGGAAATCCAAATTCAAAATGGAAATATATTAGTATGTTACTTAAAGGTAAATCAAGTATAACATACTTATGCTTTTCAGAATTTAGAAAATCAGCTTGCCTTTTCTTTTTGTACCCATTCTAATTCTTTCCTAGGATTCAAAATGGAAATATATTAGTATGTTACTTAAAGGTAAATCAAGTATAACATACTTATGATTTTCAGAATTTAGAAAATCAGCTTGCCTTTTCTTTTTGTACCCATTCTAATTCTTTCCTAGTTCAGACTGAACTGAAGTATGTATTTTTTGTACTTTATGGTGTAATTGTAAATGAGACTATAAATTATAGTATCCTGTTATGACTACTTAGTTTCATTTCTCTTTATTTGTGTGATTCTGAATAAAAACTACTGACCTCTGAAGTGAATTTTCAGCATGGCAGCTAAAACAAAAAACATCACTACCAAAAAGACAATATACTGGTAAACATTTTATTTACCTTCAGAATCCAAAGAATAGAGAATATTGTTTCCTAATAAATACCTAGGATTTTCATAGGGAGCCTGTGTTTGTGAGGCCACTACCCAAAGACTCATGTTCATGAAACTGGGAGTCCTATGTACAAGCTGTATTTGTAAATAAGACAGAGAAAGGTTATGAACTGGCAGCTTGGATGTTTTGTCAAAGTACAATGTCAGAGAAACTCTTTCTAAGACAAATTGTAAATAGAACTGTCACAGTGATTGCATGATTGAGCCGCAGAAGTGTCCTACAATTGTTGGCATTGTCAGAGGACTTTTGAAAGCTTAATTAAACACAGTGGACTGCATGGCTGCTAAATTTACTTCGGAAAGCCAAAAAGAAAAAAAAAATCCTAAAATGTAGAAGATCCCAAAGATCCCAAAGTTCTTCAGACATTACCTGTTTGGTGACACAGAAAAGATGCATTGTGCATTTTCCTAGTCTTCTTTTATAAATAATAGTTTTGAGATTAGGTCCACGTGATATGAAGATCATCCTGTGTGTGATGTGGAGATTGTGTTAGTTTTTCTGTCTCCTGCTGTTACAGACAGTTAATGTAAAAATGGCCTTTTATTGGAAACACAAATATGTATTCACTTCAAGAACAGGAGGAGCAGGGGGGACTAAGTTTCCCTCCCATTCTCTGTGTTTATTCTGTGAAAGCTTAAAAGAACAGTGCTGTAATTTCTTAAATTGCCCCATTCCTTGTTGTATTGCAAGTTGTGCCTTTTACTATAAAGGATCTGAAATATGTTTTGCACACCTTTCTGCCAGTGAATGTGGCCTTTAATTGTGGATCTGCTCATGGGATGGAGAATGCAACTGGGTGTAGAAATGTGCAGGCAGGGTCGGGACAGGCAACCTTCAGCTCA